AGGTCAGGAGTTTGAGACCAGCCTGGCCAACGTAGTGAAACCCCATCTCCACTAAAAATACAAAAATTAGTTGGGCACGGTGGTGAGCACCTGTAATCCTGGCTACTCCGGAGGCTGAGGTGGGAGGATCACTTGAACCTGGGAGGTGGAGGTTGCAGTGAGCTGAGAGCACACCACTGCACTCCAGCCTGGGTAACAGAGTGAGCCTCTGTCTCAAAAAAAATAAGAAATAAAAAATAAAAAATAAAAAATAAAAGGATGACATGCCCCAGAAAAGCAGCACACCGGCCCCTGCTTAAAGACGAAGGAATTAAAGAAGAGAGCTCCACGAAGTTCCCTCACCCCTCTCTAGAGGCAGGTAGGGCTCTGCTCCTTTTGGGCCTCATCCTGCTGCTTCTGCAAATCCTAGGAATCTCTCGCTCTGTCTTGTGACTTGAAGCTGAGATAACATTTCTTCCCGAATCTGAGAAGAGGGATAGATTACAGGAGAATGTCGCCTTTCTGGAAATCACTAGGACATGTTTTTTCAGAAGTAGCTAACTTAGAAAAGACCACACTGGCGACCAGGGCCAGGCCGCCTGCCTTTTGACCTGGCCTGTCCCAGGAGCCACTGATCCCTTAGATTTGCATCCGCCACACCCATGAACACCTTGGGTCCCTCACATAACCAAGGAAGGGCTCTTCCAGAACATCCAAGCAAAGGAAGACAAAGCAAAGGGTTTTGATAATAGCTGAAAATATTACCCGCTTGAGATTGACTTGAGTTTGTGTGTCTGAAGCTGGCTAATGCTGTCACATGGTATTTGACTTTTACTACTATTTTAAAAGTGAAAGAGGTTAACAATCTCCTTATCACACACTTGATAAAAAATGGACCCAAGGTGCTAATTTGAGGCAATTTGCGATCAGCTTCCTAGCCTTTTTGGTATTAAAGGAAGACAAATGTTGACAAACAAACAGAAAACGACAAAAACAAAACAAAACAAAACAAAAAAACAAGCCAGGGAGCTACTTAATGTCAGGCATTGGACTGAGTAGATGGGAGTGGTTAATTTTCATTAGGACACAGCGAAACCGATCAGGGTGATTACCACCCCTCTCCACTGAGGGACGGGCAGAAGAAGTCAAGGCAGACAGGGGCCATGCAACACCAGGGCCCCTGGTGGCTCTAGACCTCTGCCGTCCAATCAGGTAGCCACCAACCCTGTGTGGTCTTGAACATGGAAATGTGACCAGTGCAGTGAGGCAGGTGTGACCTGTGCTCTGCATCTCAGTACCAAAAAAAAAAAAAGAATAAAATATCCCAATAATTATTTCACACTGATTGCACATTGAGATAGTATTTTGGATATGTTGCATTACAGCGTATTATTTAACAGGCATTCCACCTGTTTCTCTGCTTTGTATCGTGGAACATTTCAGGTCGCGTCCTGAGAATGGACAGCGCGGCCTAGACTAAGGCGGGGGAGGGCGACAGCGATCCCGCGGGTGGAGCGCGTGGGCGGCCGAGGGTTGGTGGCTGCGCCCGGGGCTTGGGGGTGGGGTGGGGTGGCTGCGGTCGTGCCCCTTGCTGCCCTCTAACGTGTCGCCTGTCTCCGCAGCGCCCGCCGCCGCCGTGCGCAGGTTCGGCGAGGACACCGCGCCCCCGAGCTTCCCGAGCTGCGGCCACTACCGCGAGGAGCCCGCGCTGGGCCCGGCCAAGGCCGCCCGCCAGGCCGCCCGGGACGGGGTACGGCTGGCGCTGGCCCGCGCGGCGCCGGAGTGCTGCGCGCCCCCGGCCCCCGAGCCCCCGGGCGCGCCGCCGCAGCTGCCCTTCGTGCTGCTCAACTACCACCGCGTGCTGACCCGGCGCGGACCGCTGGGGGGCGCCGCACCCGCCGCCTCCAGCTTGGCCTGCGCTCCCGGCGGCCCCGAGGCGGCGACCAGCGCGCTGCGGCCCCGGCACCCGAGCCCCGCCGCCGCCTCCCCAGCCGGCACGCCACTGCCGCACTACCTGGGCGCCTCGGTCATCATCACCAACGGGAGGTGACCCGCCGGCCGCCCGCGCCAGGAGCCTGGACCCGGCTTCGGGGCTGCGGCGCCACCGAGCCCGGCAGGTGCGCACGACCTACGTTAATTTATGCAGAGACAGCTATTTGAATTGGACCCCACCGCCGACTTGCGGATTTCCACCGCGGAGGCCGCGCGCGCAAGTGCCGAGGGTCGAGGAGCGCCCGGGTCCGGGCAGGTGACCGCCCACCTCTGTCCTGCGAGGGCCAGTGTGACCCAGTTGCTGGTGGCTTGGTTTCCTCACCTTGAAATCGGGCTTCACGCATCTTGCCTTGTCCCCAACGTTCCACGATAGTCCCGCTGGGGGATTTAAGCGATTTCACTCCGCAAATATCCTCCACTTTCAGGAGGGAAACCCACCCTGCCGCAGTCCGCTCTTCCAAGTGGACGGCAGCCCTGGAAGGCGACGCCTGTGTCCGAGCCCTTTTAGATGCTTAGGTGAAGGCAGAAATGACGATTGTAAGTCCCATGAATACACAACTCCACTGTCTTTAAGTCATTCAAGAGTCTCATTATTTTTGTTTTATTTAACCCTTTCTTCAATACAAAAACCAACAAGCCAAGACTAAGGGGGTGACCATGCAATTCCGTTTTGTGTGTCTGTGAACATGGGTGTGCTTCACAAATCCATTAACAAGCTCTTACTTCCCCCTAACCCCTATGAACTCTTGATAACACCAAGAGTAGCACCTTCAGAATATATTGAATAGGCATTAAATGCAAAAATATATATGTAGCCAGAGAGTTTATGAGAATGACCCTGTCAAGCTTAATTATTACGTGGCAAAATCCCTCTGGTCCACACAGCTCTGTAATTCACTAGGCTCATGTTTGCTACAAATAGTGCTAATAAAGTTAAATTGCATGTGCAATACCAAACACTGTCAATGGACTGCACCGTGTGGATGAAAAACATGCTTAAGGGGATGTAATGAAAATGATGCAGACATTTTAAGCATTTTCTACACATCAAGAAAACGTCATAAGAACGTTACGTGTGCAACAGGTAAACAGAAATCCTTTCGTAAAGCACCAGCAGTGTTTAAAAAATGAGCTTCCATTAATTTTTATTTTTTATGGGTTTTGCTTAAAGATCTCAACATTGAAAAATCCTGCCATGGCTCTGAACTGCACCAATGCATTGAACCACCATCTTTCAATTTTCTTCATCCTATCAACACTGCATCATTCTGCTGCTTTATCAAAATGGTTTATATTAGGAAACTTTTTCCACCTGAACGGAAAGAGGTTTTCCCAAATGTTTTAAACTCATTGTTCTAGAATCAAGTGCACCTACACCAGCTGCTCTCAAAATGTGAATTTTTTTTTTTTTTTTGCCAACCTTGTGTCACTTAGTGAGGACCTGATACAATCCCTACAGGGTGTCTGTCAGTGGGCCTCATGGTAAGAGTCACAATTTGCAAATTTAGGACTGTGGGTCATGTAGCGAAGGGGCTGGATGGTAGGAAGGGAGGTGCCCGCCTCTCCACGCACTCAGCTATACCTCATTCACAGCTCCTTGTGAGTGTGTGCACGGGAAATAAGCCGGGGGTATTTTTTTTTTTTTTTAATGTTCATGAGTCTTATAATTAAACCATGATTCTTGAAAGGTGTAGGTTTGATTACTAGGAGATACCACCGACATTTTTCAATAAAGTACCGCAAAATGCTTTTGTGTCTACCTTGTTATTAACTTTTGGGGCTGTATTTCGTAAAAATAAATCAAGGCTATCGGAGCAGTTCAATAACAAAGGTTACTGTTGAGGAAAAAGACCCTATTATAGATTTACAAGTGGCAACGCGGACAGGCGTAACAGTGTGTATGTACTTGAAAAAGAAAATGTGTACTAGTGAAAACGTCCTTGTCTAAACAAACTTCACCGTTTTCATAACCTAGAACATGAAGGAAGATTCTTACATGAGCTGGCTTCAGGACGGCCAGGGCTGAGTGCAAAGTTAGCAGAGCTGTTACTATGGCAACCTAATATTGTTACCTCCATCTTGAAGAGTCTGCACATTCAAGCTGGGGATAGCGTTTCTTGACTTCTGTGAGGCTCTGGTAGGGGAAGAGGAAGCATTTTAATACATATGCCTCTCTTTTACAAAAAGGAAAAAAAATCGTCGTGGGTCCTAACATGTACCATGTTGACAAAAATGCCAGATCAAATGGATTTGAGAAATAAGCCCAATTCCAGGCTGGCTCAGCCCTCCACGGGGCCTCCCAGGGAAAGGAATTCCTTTATGTTCTTGGAAACCCTTTTCTAGAAAAGCCATTCCATTCATACCTTTGTAGAGCAGTGGCCTGGGTGTGGAGGGCAGTGTGGAGGGTATCTGTAAGAGCCTGTATTTTCTGCCTCCCTTGCCCCCACCTCTTTTATCCTTTTAAAAGCCCTGCCTTCGTCCCTTCTGCCCTAAGCCCTAAGAGTGGGGGAGGTTTAATACGGCCAATGGATCTTGTATAAAGTCTACCTAAGTTTTAATTTACCAGAGCTATAAGATGGTTAAGGTAGACTGGGGGTGCTGTTACAGATAAAATGGGATACAAAGAACATTTGCAAATAAATGCCATAAAATTACAGTAGCTTGGAATTTTAGTGAATCATAGCCCATGTGTTATCTAGAATGCATTATTCAAGCTGTTCCTAAACTTAAGTATGACATATAAGGTTAAAATCTTGGGAGGAAAAACTGTTCAGATGACAAGTCAAGCAGTTGCCACAAAAGAATAAGAAAAATCCTAAAAATAATCTAGAAGTTGTTACATTTATTTCTCACCTCAATTAAAAGGGTTTTTGCTTTGGGGTTTTATTAACTTTCATTCTTTGGAGTAATAATATTTCTCTTGTGTATGGCGCTGAATACATCTGTCAATAATACATCAAAAAAAACAAAAAACAAAAAAAAAAACCTGGCTTCTTAATACTTGGAAATACATACATATTCCTTATTATGTAAAACACTTTATTTATTTTGTAAAAATATGTTTAAATATGAATAAAAATACTGTAACCCAAAGTAGTTGCCTACTTTTAAAAATGAAACTTGTAAAAATAAGGTTGAGCCCAAACCACATAGAAAGTCTTAGTTTATTTTGGTAGACTTGCTTTTTATAGGCATTGGTTTAAAGTGATTCTTTTCAGAGGCATTCCTTGAGAAGTTAAAATGCAGAGGCTGACACTTTCTTTTATTTCAAATATGCATAGTGATTAACCAGCAATAAGGATTCTCCCATGTTCTGCCTGTTAAGAGCAAACAGATCTGGAGAACGGACGCCCACCCCGCCTCCCTTCTCCATCTGAAGCAGTGTGGCGAGGCTGGCTCCTCTCTTTGTTCCCAGACTCCAGGGCAAGGGGCGGCCATGCTGCATATGCTGTGGCTTGGGGGACCCCCAGAGGCTGTGCTCTGTGGCCCGTGCTCCCCCGATGTGGGCCTGTGCACCGGCAACCCAGTGGGCCGCTTGCTCTCACATCAGGCCACGTCAGCCTGCTGCAGTGGAACTCCACCATGATTTTACTTGGAACACAAATCCTTCCTTCTTCCACCACTCCCTGGCAGAGTTCCCAGTGCCAAAAAGCACTGCTGGGGTGGGGGTGGGGACAGGAAGCCCAGTTATTGCTGTGTTCGATTTTAGGGGGCACTTCCCCAAGAGTCCCCCTGAAACCTGTTACCAGCCTGGAAGGGAGGCTATCTTGCCTTTTACAAAATACGGTCAATACTCAAGGCACAGCCTCTAAAGCAAGGGCTATTCCAGTGTTCTAAAAGCACAGGCCAATCCTGAGTTTAGTGACCACATTTTAAAGATCATGAGGAAAATGCCAAGTTCCCACTAAGACTTTAAAGCTCCTTCACATCCCAGGTTGCCGGGTGCATAAGTGGCCCAAATTGGAGAGTGTGGTAGAGCAGGTAGACAGGTTTCGCTAACACTAACAGCTATCAGTAAAATGCCTTTATTCAGCTAATTCTATAGGAAGCAGAGTTTTGAGAGTCTTTGGTTCACGTGAGGCAAAATCAGATTTATGGGAAACGCAGCATCTGCTTCAAGGCTGCTTCATCTCCCTCAAGACAACTGGGTCTCCTGCGCGGCGGAGAAGCGCCTGTTGGAAAGCACAGAGCACAGCAGTATGCCCGGAACATCTCCATATCCTTTGACAAGGCCACACGTCATTAGTTTTAATTTGCAGAAAGGAAATTAAATGATAACATTTTTTTTCCCAAAGCAGAATGTCCAGAATAGGACTTCAGCTTAAAACAAAACATAGCATGTTTTTCATTAAATAACCCCCAAAGAAATTCAAAAAGTGATGATGGCAGCTCTGAGAGGGCTTGCCTTATATTACAAAGTCTGAGAAATGAAACCTGCATTGTTAGCCTCGAGATCTTTGTCCCTGATGATATTTTGCAGACGCCCTCTCAAGGGTGAGTCCATTTTGTAATTTGGGGGTGGTGTGGACTTATATTTTATTTAAGCTTCTAATTTCAAAAGAAGGCTTGGGCATTGCAGAAGAGTGGTTTCTTTGTGGTTTGTTTGTTCGTTTTTATTTTTTTGAGAATAATAATTCTAATTGAAGCCTCATTTCCAAAAATTACTTTTTAAGTTCTTTTAATGTTTCATTTCCAAAAAATATATATTGGGTATTTTTTCTTCCTATGGGGCGGTCCTGTGCTTAGCTAAAGGTAGACAAATTTTATACTAAAAACCACAAGTTTCTGGAATTAGCCTGACTGGGTAAGACCTGGATAAAGATGGTGCTAGTTTACAATGAAGGGATTTTGTTCAAAGCTGAAAGTGCCATCAAACTTTCTTTCCACTAATTTCAGCTGGGACTGGCAGGAAGACAGAAGACTGGACAAAAATTGGCCTTTTAAAGCTGAAAAGTAACGGGTATGATTCATAAGTTCAACAGAGATAGGAGGGACATGGAAAAGGCATGGTGTACATCTGGGAAAAGTGAGTGCATATCAAAAGCCTTCCTTTCTTTTGTTCTTTCATGAGACTTGTAGCACATCAGATTTTGAATGTCTTCTTTTAAAGCTATGTGCGTACACACGGACGCACACACATATGCGGGCACGCACGCACACATCCTCCCTCTGAACTGACGGTGTTCAGTATCCATAACATTTTCTTTCTTGGTAATATGGGGTAAATGAGGGGGGCAAAAAACCCTGTGACTTCTGAGTGAAATGCCATGTCTTCTGTATCCTGTGAGCTGCACAGTCTTGCAGGAATGCTCCACATCTCAGAGTGAATCTGAAACTGGGTTAAAAGCTCCAAGTCCTCCCTTGTATGTGGTATGAGTGTGCCTTCATCTCCAGCTGTTAGAGCCAAATCGCCCACCTCCTCATCCAAGTGATGCCTAATCAGATATTTAAGGATTCTGAACTTGATCCCATCTCTTCACAATATGCAGTAAATTGAAACTTACTTAAGAAAGCAAGTCCCTAACTCAGGACATTTAAACTGCCTTAGGAAAGGAGAGCTCATTGAATGATGTGAAAGTAATTAACCGATTTCCTCTACAAGGTCATCGCAACCACACGGGTTAGCTGTGTCTCTACAGGTGTTTAGACTTCGCTATGGGGCCACACCACCCGGGGGAGAGTAACTCTTGGAAGTCTACCTTCCCTTTCCTTCACTAATAAAGACACAGAACAATGACTAAGTGTCACATCATGTTCTTATAGTTCCACACCTCCCCAGATGCTTACAGACAGTGACAGCACACCTCTAACTCACCACTGTCCTGGGCCCAAGAGCATATTTTGGTTTGTTTTTTCATAGACTAGGGGTAAAGGTCTCCACTACTGGGAAAATATCTGAATTCTCCCATTGCCATTTCCATGTAAAAACTCCCCCTGACAATAAACAGAAGTCCAAGCCCCAGAGGGGAGACCGATCTCCCACCTGTGGGAGGGCTTTCCCTAAACTAAATGTTCTACTTCTTAACCATCTATCCCAGAGCCTCTTCAAACACCAAAGAAAACGACAACAAAACAAACCTAAAAGAAAAAACAGAAACATAGAAAAAGAACCAAAGACTTCACAAATGAATTGGAGGAAGAGAAAATTCACCTACAACTCTAAATTAGATTTCCAGATGCGTGGGCACGGACAGGCGGCCGCGATGAAAGCTGAATGCTCACGGTGGTGGTTCTGCACTGGGCTCGGACCCCATCCCAGTGGCATCCTCGCCTGCTGCCCAGGTGCCAGGCCCGGTGAGTCAGGAGGGCAGGCCCAGGCCCGTCTCAGGGACGCCCGGCATTACCGCCGTTTGGGGAGGATGAGGTTTCTCAGCATGTCGAAGGAGTTGCCATCGGGGTGTACAGTCACAACCTCGCCACCCTCCTGGTGAACCTGGAGGAAGCCAGAATCGTCCAGGCCAACGATGGACACCTTTGGTCCGTCCGCACTGCCCAGATGGACTTGCTGACCACTGAAAAGGAAGAACAGCGTGAGGTCACTGGGAGGTGTCACAGGACGGCTTAAGACAATGAGCTGAAGAATAATCCATGATGAGAGGGCTGGGGGTGCTGGGGAGAGGGCTGAGGCTCGCTGCGGGGAAAAGGCAGCCTGGGCTGAGCTCTGACTTTCTTCCACCCTGGTGAATGGTTTTAAGAACTACTCAAAGAACCAGCAGGGTGCAAGTTCAACAAGGAGTCGAAATTTCTTCACACAACATCACTCTCCTAATTCTGGTCATTTGCGGTGATGGTTCGAGCCACTTCCTCATCTCCCAGCACAAAATAAGAAACACTCTGCAACTCTAGGTTTTTTGGCTGAGGTTGGAGGAAAATAGCCTGAGTTGGCAAACAATGTTTTATCTCATAAAACAAAGTTGGGTCACATCAGCCACAAGTGAAATTCATCCTGATCCTATTTCTTTCGAATATTTTCCAAATATACTCAACTCACATCCTTCTTAACAGCTTTCAACATATAGAATTTTCTCCTCAAGTTTTTATTTTGAAGAATTTCAAATCACAGAAAAGCTGAAAGAATAGTACAACAAACCTCATATTCTCTTCCATTCTCACACCAAATGAAAATACTTCCCATATTTGCTTTCTTTCTTCACATATAAACACATATAAGCACACATTTTTTTTTTTCCTGCATCATGTAAAGGTAAGTTGCAGCTGGGTGTGGTAGCTCATGCTTGTAATCTTAGCACTTTGAGAGGCCAAGGTGGGAGGATTGCTTGAGGCCAGGAGTTCAAGACCAGTCTGGGCAATATAGTGAGACCCTGCTTCTACCAAAAAAAAAAAAAAAAACAACTTTTTTGAATTAGTGGGCTGTGTGGCACATTCCTGTTGTCTTAGCTACTTGGGAGGCTGAGGCAGGAGGATCATTTGAGCCCGGGAGTTCAAGGTTTCAGTAGTGAGCTATGATGGCACCACTGCACTCCAGTGACAGAGCAAGACCCTCTCTTAAAAAAAAAAAAAAAAAAAGGAATAGAAATAGAAAACAAATGAAAATTTAAAAAAGTTTTTTAAAAGCTGCAGGCATTGTGACACTTTCTGCTTAAATACTTTATCTCCTGAGAACAAGAACCTCTTACAAAATTATAATAGCATTAACCATGACCAGTCAAGAGAGTCTGGATACAAGAGGTCCATGTTCATGTCATTCCCACTGTTCCTTTAATATCCTTTGTGGATATTTCCCTCCATCCAGGATCACATACATTACATTTAGATGTCATGCCTCTTTCATCTTCTCTAATCCCAAACAATTCTGCCACCTTTTTTTTTTTGTCCAGTTGTTTGTGTGCAGACACTGACATTTTTGCAGGGCACAGGCCTGTGGTTGTAAAATCAGTGAGTGGTCCTCGAACTTCAGCTGCGTGAGAATCCCCGGAGCATCTGTTATGACACAGGGTGCTGGGCCCAGCCCAGGGGTTTCTGATGCGGTAGCCCCTGGTTGAGGCTGAGGCCACTGCCTGGGATCTCATTTTGAGTACCACTGTTACCTAGAAGGTTTGACAATTTAGATGCATCTGATTGTTTCTTCACAATTAGAATCAGATTAAACCAATGTGAAACTCTCTCACGATTTCGGTTCTTTCCACCGCATCCCACCAGGAGGCATAAGATGCCCGTTTGCTCCATTATTGGCGATGCTAACTTGGTCAAGGTGGTGTCCATGCATTTTCTCCAATAGAGGCACAGAAAATAATCATTCAGACCAGCGCTCAGTCCCTTGTTTTAAGATACTGAACTACGGTCGGGCACGGTGGCTCATGCCTGTAATCCCAGCACTTTGGGAGGCCGAGGTGGGCAGATCACAAGGTCAGGAGAACGAGACCATCCTGGCTAACACGGTGAAACCCCATCTCTACTAAAAATACAAAAAATCAGCCGGGCGAGATGGCGGGCGCCTGTAGTCCCAGCTACTAGGGAGGCTGAGGCAGGAGAATGGCGTGAACCCGGGAGGCAGACCTTGCAGTGAGCAGAGATGGCGCCACTGCACTCCAGCCTAGGGGACAGAGCGAGACTCCGTCTCAAAGAAAAAAAAAATACTGAACTACTAAGATACTAATAAAGGAGCTGAAAAGAATGAAGACGAGCCAGCACTGACCTGTGGACCCAGTATCGGTAATAAAGGGGAAGGACGCTGTTGGGCCCTTTGTCCTGAAACTCTTCGATCAGTTTCTCCAGCACAGTCACGACTCTGGCGATGAGATAATCGGCTCTTAAGGGCTTCAGTTCGGCCTTGTGTTGCTTATTGTATTCTGTGACGAGGTCGTTGATGCAGATGGTAGGGTTACTGTTAGTCACATTAAATCCACAGCCTGGACAAAAACAAACAATTGAGCAGCTCAGCCTGTTGATGGCATCACACATTCCTCTCTGCCACTTGGAAAAAGTTACAGTCTTGACTGTCAACTTCCTCCTTCCTTGTCCTCATTTCAGACTTCGTGTCTCTAACCACTTGAAGAATGACTTATATCTTTTTGTCCATCTTCCTTTTTGTCCTTCTTTTATTATTCTTGTTCAAGCTAAAACCATCTCAACCTTACTGCAAATAAGAAGGTAAGAAAAAAGAAAGCCACATTTGATTCAATTTAATTCAACAGATGCTATTAAATGTGGGACAAACGTATCAGTGTTGCCTCTGAAATAAGTGGTTTACCAAGCATTGCAGCTCTGCACTGAGTCCAATAGAGAACACAATCTCTTGTTTCTTCTCCTACTTGAGTAACAGATCCCATGCTTGAAAATAGAGTTTTATTCAGGATTTGGGAAGTAAACTCTGGATTCAGAAATTTCAAACCTTGGTCATGGCATCACCCTAGAATGCATCTTTTAATACTTTATCCTTGGAAGTCTTTGGTGCTAAGGTTACACTGTTGGCAAGACGCCGACCCATTTTCAGTGGACTTTTTACAGGCTCCTAAACCAAGGCTTCACGAGAGTTACCAGGGATGGTATCTGAACAGGCTTATCTGTGCCGTTACTTAACACCACTAGCCTCTCCAGGGAGAGGGCGGTATCTTCAGAAAAGCTGGACTTCAGTGTTCAGCAGGACCCTGAATCGGCCTGCAAGAGGTCTGAAGGAAGAAATGAAATACTGGAAAAACTAGGCAGGAAGAAAACTACCATGTGTTCAGTGACTCTAAGAAAAAAATCCCCAAAACATTTGCCACAGACAGAACGATGCCATTTGTAACAACAGCATTCTCCGGCAAGTGTCCTGCTGTTTCCCGTGTGAAGGGAAGGACTGACTGGTCTCAGATTTTAAAATAATATACTGGCTATTAAAATACAAAGCAATGTCAATTACCTCTGGAAAAAAACAAGTAACTACGGCAACAGGGGCAGAACTTGCAGTTGTTCATGTATTCATCCGTTCCATACGTACAGTCACTGAAGCGCCTACTGAACGCTCGTAACGCATTAAATTAAGTGCCATATAGCACTGAAAATTCTCCCTTGTGTTCAGAAAACTGGAATTCCTAGGATGAGTAGCAACACTGACTACTGGCCACTTCGGCTATGTCCTTCTAAGGACCAGTGAGCACCCTGCTGGCTGCTCTAAATCCCCAAAGTCAGAGACCCCATCCCATGGCCTTCAGAAGTCAATAAAAGCTATGGGTTCTCACCATAGGAAAATGTTTCATTCCTCTACTTTATTTTTTATTTTTATTTATTTATTTATTTTTTTGAGACAGGATCTCACTCCAGTTGCCCGGACTGGAGTGCAGTGGAGCCATCATAGCGCACTGCAGCCTCAACCTCCTGAGCTCAGGTGACTTTCCCATCTCAGCCTCCTGAGTAGCTGGTACTATAGGCATGCGCCACTACGCCTAGCTAATTTTTTGTATTTTTAGTGGAGACAGGGTTTCGCCATGTTGCTCAGGCTGGTCTCGAACTCCCAGACTCAAGCAATCCACCCACCTCAGGCTCCCAAAGTGCTGAGATTACAGGTGTGAGCCACCACACCCGGCCTATTTTTTATTTTTGAGACAGGGTCTCACTCTGTCACCCAGAATGGAATGTAGTGGCTCAATCACAGCTCACTGTAGCCTTGAACTCCTGGTTCAAGTGATCTTCCTGCCTCAGTCTCACAAGTAGCTGGGATTATGAGCTCAAGCCACTATGCCTGGCCTTCGCTTACCCCATGCTGATAACATTCGTTAGCTCCCTGAAGCCATCCATGAGCCTCCTTGTTGTCTGTGGCCCCTACCTAGGAATCTCTGCATTAACTGCAATTACTCACTTAAAGATAGGAAATGAGGGAGGCTGGATGCGGTGGCTCACGCCTATAATCCCAGCACTTTGGGAGGCGGAGGCGGGTGGATCATGAGGTCAGGAGTTTGAGACCAGCCTGGCCAACATAGTGAAACCCTGTCTCTACTAAAAATACAAAAAAATTAGCTGGGTATGGTGGCAGACGCCTGTACTCCCAGCTACTTGGGAGGCTAAGGAAAGGAGAATCGCTTGAACCTGGGAAGCAGAGGTTGCAGTGAGCCGAGATTGCACCACTGTATTCCAGCCCGGGCAACAGTGCTGGACTCTGTCTCAAAAAAAAAAGAAGATAGGAAATGGAGCTCTAAGGGTATGAAGTAGCTTGCCCAGAATAATATTGCCCCTTGGTGGCAGAGCTGGTAACACAGGACTTGTATTCCCTGGCTGGCACCTGAAACACATGGTTACATGTTTTTTGACCATTGCTGGCTTCTGAACACAGATTAGGTTCTACTGCCACAGAGTGAAGCTGATGGCTGGACGGCCAGGAACCTAAGGACTTCTGAGGTCGCCTCTGAATCCATCTTCTTGCCTGATGTGGATGTGCTGAGGTGAAACAGGGATTCTTTACCCCGCCTTGACCAGCCTGGAGCTTCTTCTGAAGGTTAAAATGATGCCAACTCTTTCATGGTCCAGGAAGGTCAGGATAAGAATGCAAGACACCAGGAGAACTATTTAAGAAATTAACTTTTCCTTTTCTTATTAGAGAATAGAACGTTATATGTTTATTTTCGCCATTTCAAATTCAATGAGTAGCAGGAGTGTGGAAGGATGTAAGAACATACCTGCTTGATATGATACCACTTTGGTGGTTTCCGTGGTCACACAGAGAGAATGCTGAACTCTGTGAAGTGCTTTCAACCAATCTCTCTGCATCTATACCCTGCTCCAAAACTACAAGACTCAAAATAATCTCATATGATCATCTGCTCCTGCCATTAACCATTTTTATTTTTATTGTTTTATTAATCTAAAAATGCTGGGGGAAAGGTTTTTGAAACTTACCAATAAGTATATGAAATGTTTCTCCCATGAGCGTTGAGTTAACCAGAACTCCGCCGATCTTCATGAGGTCGCTGTAATAAATATCGTTGGGCCACTTCACTCGTAAGTTGATATCCTAAAGGGAAATCTGCACATTAATTAAGCAGTCACAGGACACAAGGGGCCCAGGCAAGTCACTGAGCTAAGGGAAGATAAGCAGAAACCAAGGTAACATGGGCCTTGTCCTCTCCTCTTTTTCAGACAGCTAATCACTTCTTTGGGACAATCCGATATTGAAGTGCCTCTTGGGGCCAGGAGGTAAAAGTCCTGAAGAACACAGCTGGCATAAACCCCAGCATTCTTCCCCATCCCCCAGCACTGTTTCTCATCATCCAAAACCCCTTCTGAAGATGCCTACCTTGTAAATGAAGTTCATTATGTCAGTATCCACCACCACTGCCACCATGAGTAGCTAACTAACACGCTAGGGCCAGAGGGTGGGGAGAGAATAGTAATCTCTGGGTGCGTCTCCATTCAGGAACCCATGCTTGAGAGAGAAAGACGGCCCAGAATTAACCAAGGTCACAAAAGGCAGGTAGAAATGTCTTGAGTAGGAGCCAGTGGTGGGGCGCGGTGGCTCGTGCCTGTAATCCCAGCACTTTGGGAGGCTGAGGCGGGTGGATCGCAAGATCAGGAGTTCAAGACCAGTCTGGCCAACATAGTGAAACCCCGTCTCTACTAATGCCCCAAACCATCAGACATGCAAGGATGCTGGGTGCCTGGTAGTAAACGTCCGTTTCAGCAATGTGATGTGATACAGGAAACAGAGACGTCAGGGTTCTTCATGGACAGAAGAAAGAGCAGGAGTGAGAATGGGCACCCCAAGGTGGGCTCCGGAAAAAGAGTGCTGTGAAGACGCAGAGGAGAAATTCCCCTGGGTAATGAAACCGGACTGGTCATGTGGCCTACTACCTCTTCATCTTGAATGGTGTGGCCTGGGGAGGCTCTCCCCGTCATCAGCTCACAGAATGGACCGAGAGTGGACAGCGTCTTGAACAAGGCCACCCAGGCCTCTGCCTATCCACTGTGACTCTGAAGTTGGGACACAGAGACTGGGCTAGCCGAGTGGATGTCAGAACCACCAGGTCTTCTAGAGCTGGGGCTGGCAGCCAGGCTGTGCCATGTGTGGGTAAAGGAAGCCTGTCTGGAGATGCGAGGCTGGAAGAGAACATTCAGCAAAATAAAGCTAAGGGAGCAGAGAGTAGCTGATGGCCTCCGAGGGCCATGGGGCTGGCCTTCCCACATCGCAGGCCAGGCATGGCACTGAGCGCCTTCTCAGCACTAGTCCACGTGTTACTTACACCCAGCCCATGTATTGGTGCCAGCGCATCCCTAGGGAACAGGGGGAGAAACGGAAGCTTAGAGCAGTTATGTGGCTTGCCTGAGGTTATACCACTTGAAAGCCACGGAGCTGGGATTCAAACCCTTCTGCCACCAGGCCTGGGTGACGAATCCCACGCTACGTGGCCTGGTGCTTCCATGAAATCCCCTTCCTCCTTCCAACAGGCCTTCTTTTGACTTTGGCCAGTTAGAGCATAGTGGAAGCTCATCTGCTCTAAAATAGCAGTTTAGGCTGAGAGGAAAAATACAGGAAAAGGAGCACAGGAGAACAGAAAGTCTAAATAAACCGAGGATGGGGGGTGTGCGATGCCCTGGAACTGATCAACAGCTTCACGTTCTTTTCTCTCTAGAACGGGGATTCTCAGCGGGAGCGATGCCCTGGAACTGATCAACGGCTTCACGTTCTTTTCTCTCTAGAACGGGGATTCTCAGCGGGAGCGATGCCCTGGAACTGATCAACAGCTTCACGTTCTTTTCTCTCTAGAACGGGGATTCTCAGCGGGAGAGGGGTGGATTTGGCGACAGCAGGAGACTTCCTTGGTTTTCACAGCCTGAGGGAGTGCTACTGGCCTCTAGAGAGTAGAGGCCGCAATGCTGACACATATCCTTTAAGGCACAGGACATCCCCACGACAAACATGCCAGGGCCCACATAGCAATAGCGCCAGGCTGAGAAAGTCTCCTCTAGAAAACCTGTGACTAGGAGGCTCTGCTCTTCGTCACTGCCCCCCGTTCCCTTTCCTGCTCCTCTCTTGCCTTCCCACATCCCCCTGTGCCAGTGCCATGGCCAGGGGAATGAGCCCCTGCCTAGGCGGTGGGAGGACACCTGCAGAGTTCCCAGAGCTGTCAAGCTCCTCCGCCACGTGCGTGCGTGACAGCTGGTGCCTGGGCGGGCCCTGCACTCGGGCTCCAGCTCGCCTTCATGGCTTCAGATCTCATCGGCTCATGAAGCAGTTCATGAAACTCTGGGTTCTCACGCAGGTAAGTAGGACCAGCATTTCCAGATGAAAAGGAGGGCTGTGTGCTTATTTTTCATTTTCTCAATCATTTATTCCAACAGCTGCTGTGATCCTCCCACATAAAAAAAGACCAAAATGAAACAAATCCTGCTCTCGGAGAGCTACTAACTTCATGGGAGACGGAACAGGAGCACACATCACTCCTCTTCAAAGCCACACACGGTGGAAACCATAAAAGAGGCTTCAACACAGCAAGTGCTGGATGGTGCTGGAGGAAAGAGCTGGAAGTAGCTGGAGGGTCTGAGAATAGCATTGGAGCTGGGCCTTAAGGATGAACAGAATTTTAAGAAGCAGAGAAGAGGCCAGGCGTGGTGGCTCAGGCCTGTAATCCCAGCACTTTGGGAGGCCAAGGCGGGCGGATCACGAGGTCAGGAGATTGAGACCATCCTGGCAAACGTGGTGAAACCCCATCTCTACTAAGAATATAAAAAAATTAGCCGGGCGTGGTGGCGGGCGCCTGTAGTCCCAGCTACTCGGGAGGCTGAGGCAGGAGAACGGCATGAACCCAGGGGGGCGGAGCTCGCAGTGAGCGGACATCATGCCACTACACTCCAGCCTGGGCAACAAAGCAAGACTCTGTCTCAAAAAAAAAAAAAAAAGAAGCAGAGAAGAGAGCAGGGGCAGGGGTGTGTGGGTGGAGGGAGGGTACGGGACCCAGGGGTACTTCATGGACAGAAGAAAGAGCAGGAGTGAGAATGGGCACCCCAAGGTGGGCTCCGGAAGGAATGGGCACATCCCAGTGAGGCTGCCTTGGGCCTGGAGAGGGTGGTCATGATTTGTGTGCTGATGGTGACATCTGGTTAGTGACCAGTTGGGGTCCTACTGAAGGCCATAAAAAAAGTGAAATCCAAACAACAGGGGCCTGTTTCCATCATCTAGTAGCTGCTCTGTGTCAGCTAACTTAGCTATGTTAAAAAAGAAACCCAATTCAAAATCAAATGTCCCATCACACAGGTGACGCTGGGCAGCTGACTGTGGAAGAGGGAAAAAACATTGGTACAAACTTCTTAAGAAGAATGGGAACACAAATTCCCCCGACCCCGTTCACTGCTGAAGGCAAACTTCCCACTTCCATCCTGGCCCCCAGTGCTTGGCGCACGCAGCCTCTGTGCATAGCAGGCCCTCAAAGAATGCTTGCTAAGGGAACTAGTGGGCTCCAAGGTCAAAGTCAAAGCCATGAAAAAGCTAAACAGACCAGACTAATTTAACGTTCTCAGCTTAGTGTTTGCTTTACTTATTTTCCTAAGACTAACCTGTTGCTAGAGTTAAAGATAATTTCTCCCATGACAGGACTATTTCTTTTTTTTTGATTCGAATCTCGCTATGTTGCCCAGGCTGGAGTGCAATGGCACGATCTCGGCTTACTGCAACTTCCACCTCCCGAGTTCAAGCGATTCTTGTGCCTCAGCGTCCCGAGTAGCTGAGATTACAGGGACCCATCACCATGCCCGGCTGATTTTTATGTTTTTAGTAGAGATGGGGTTTCACCATGTTGGCCAGGCTGGTCTCGAACTCCTTACCTCAGGTGATCCACCTGCCTCAGCCTCCCCAAAGTGCTGGGATTACAGGCATGAGCCACCGCGCCCGGCCAGGACTTTCTATTTTGATTGCTTTCTGCTAGACAGAACGCACAGCTCAGGTGCTAAAGGCCGGGCACCTGAAGCCCTGTAATGGTATGATGCCCCAAACCATCAGACATGCAAGGATGCTGGGTGCCTGGTAGTAAACGTCCGTTTCAGCAATGTGATGTGATACAGGAAACAGAGACGTCAGAATTAACTACATCTGTGGAATACCAAAAATTCCTACACGGTGAATACATCACAGAGGGATTTAAGGGGCAGTGAGGAGGACTGTTTCTTCAATGAAATGATGACAGGGACTCCAAGTCTCCTTTGAGAGTCACGCTCTTAACACCTTACTTCAGGAGTCAATCCAATCGTTTCTCGTTAGCCTGACACAGGAGCTGCTGGGGGAGGGAGGCAGGAATCTCCTCTTTATACCCATATGAAATGCTTCCAGGAACGTTTGGGAGGGGGCCGTGGGAAGCGAAGCCCAAGTACGGAAGAAAATGCTTCGGTGGGTAAGCTGATCATTCCCTGTTGCTTGTCTTTTTAATAACTGACAACAAAACATCCAGTAATAAAGAAGCAGGCACACGGGTCCTAACAGCTAAGGGAAGATGGCCCCAAGTGGACCTACACATTGTATGTGGTCAACAGTGGATAAAGGATAGCGCTGCTAGAGCAGAGTCTGGTAAACAGAGGCAGGAAATGAGAAAGGTTTTTAGGTCCCCAAATAACCCTTTTCAACAGAAAATGCAGATGAATAACTTCCATCCAGTCCAACAATCAAACCTCATCCAGTGCTTCAATCAAAAAACAAACACGGGGCCGGGTGCGGTGGCTCACACCTGTAATCCCAGCACTTTGGGAGGCCGAGGTGGGAGGATCACAAGGTCAAGAGACTGAGACCATCCTGGCCAACATGGTCTCTACCAACTCCATCTCTACCAACAACACAAAAATTAGCTATGTGTGATGGTGCACGCCTGTAGTCCCAGCTACTCAGGAGGCTGAGGCAGGAGAATCGCTTGAACCCTGGAGGCAGAGATTGCAGTGAGTAGAGATGGCGTCATTATACTCCAGCCTGGTAACAGAGTGAGACTCCGTCTCAAAAATAAATAAATAAATAAATAAACAAACATGACCAGGTGCAGTGGCTCATGCCTATAATCCCAGAACTTTGGGAAGCTGAAGCAGGCAGATTGCTTGAGCTCAGGAGTTCAAGACCAGCCTGGGCCACATGGTGAAACCCCATCTCTATTAAAAATACAAAAAAATAGCCAGGCGTGGTGGTGTGCACCTATGGTCCCAGCTACTCGGGAGGTTGAGGTGTGAGGACTGCTTATGCCTGGGAGATGGAGGTTGCAGTGAGCCGAGATAGTGCCACTGCACTCCAGCCTGGGTGACAGAGTGAGACCCTGTCTCAATTAAAATAAATAAATAAACAACAACAAAACCCAAAATCTAAAGCATTGCCCTCATCAGGCTGTTTGAGAAATCTGAAAAACTGGGTAGAAAGGGAGTTCTGGGGAACGAATGCATTCGGGCAAGTCTGAAGCAGCATTAGCACCTGGTGGCACTCTTAAAACTCTGAGGGCACTTTGTTGCCAGCTGTGCAAAGGGTAGGCTGAGGTTCTACAGCCACCAATTATGCAAGCACATGCTACAAACAAGAATAAGCCGGATTCTGCATGCATTACAGGGTCGTAGAGGGGGACTGAACTGTACCTACCTGATACTTGGGAATGGACCTCACCGCTTCCACGACAGCCACGGACATCAGATGCTGGACAAACGGGATCCTCTGTCCCAGCTGGGATCTCAGTGGGATGGAGATGAGCAGAGTAGAAAGAGCACATCCCACGGGGCTCAGCCACACATTCCCTCCCCGTCCTGGAACACAGTGCGCAGTGGGAAACAGGCTACCTTGCCATGTGGACAGACACAGACACACGTCATGCCAGGGCCACACACTCAAATAAACCTGGACTTATTACACTTCTCATTGTATTACAATGCTTATTATATTCTGGGCTTAACTCAATGAAAGAATAGCTTGTTAAAATCTGAGCTCTGTTGCTGAAAAAGTTTCCAATAATCAGCATAATGTTCTGCTTCTGTGAGCATATCATTTGTGCCTTGATGACTCAGAGTCTTACAACGTCTGAACATGACTATCAGTTTAATTCCCACCATATGGTCATGAAGGCAAACACAGACACTGGGAAACTGAACTGATATATACTGATCCAGGAGAGGTCCTGGAAGCCACTGTTTAGAAGCAACTCCTATTGTGGTGATGGTTGCACTGCCCAGAAAATATGCTATTAAATAACAGCCACAGAGCTGTATACTTTATTTATTTATTTATATTATTATTTTGTAAGATGAAGTCTCACTATGTCGCCCAGGTTGAAGTGCAGTGCGTGTGATCTCAGCTCACTGCAACCTCTGCCTCCTGGGTTCAAGCGATTCTCCTGCCTCAGCCTCCCAAATAACTGGGATTAAGGTGTCCGCCACCATCTCCAGGTAAGTTTTGTATTTTTAGTAGAGACAGGGTTTCATCATGTTGGCCAGGCTGGTCTTGAACTCCTGACTTCAAGTGATCTGCCTGCCTCGGCCTCCCAAAGTGTTGGGATTACAGGCATGAGCCACCACGCCCGGCTAGAACTGTATATTCTAAATGGAGGAATTATATTTCAACAAAGCTGTTTATAAAGGGATTCCTGATATTAACTGAGTTGTTACTTTTCTTTCTTCCTTCTTTCCTTTTTTTTTTTTTTTTTTTAAGAGACAGGGTCTTGCTCTGTTGCCTAGGCTGGAATGCAGTGGCACAATTACAGTTCACTGGGCTCAAGTTGGGACTACAGGTGAGTACCACCGTGCCCAGCCAATTTTTGTATTTTTTGTATTTTTTTGTATTTTTGTATTTTTTTGTATTTTTGTATTTTTTTGTATTTTTGTATTTTTTTTTAAGAGATGGGTCTTGCTAAGTTGTCCCAGTTGGTCTTGAACTCCTGGACTCAAGTGATCTTCTGCCTTGGCCTCTCAAAATGCTAGGATTATAGCATGAGCCACCGTGCCTGGCCTACTTTTCTTAAAATTGAAGTTAGAAAAATAGAAGAATCCAAATGAGAGGTAGAGTTCATCAAAGTTCTTCTTGAATGTCTTTTCTTAAAAAAAAAAAAAAAAAATCCACATATTGAGATCCATAGCTTTTGCCAAAAATATTTTTTTTCCATTTGAATTATGTTTGAAAGACATGTTCAGGAGAAAGAAGGGAGAACAGCAGATTTCTTATTTCTTTGGTTCTTATGAAAAAGTCGTAAGAGCCTGTGAGAGTGAGAAGCACATCTGGGTGAGCCTGGCACTGGCTGGGGCAGGGAGGGACCAAGCCCCGTGGAGCAGCCCCTGTATAGGGTCAGACCCCAGATGGGTCTGGGAGGATGTGGGCACTCGCCTCTGGGATCTGCAGGTGGTGGAGCCCTGGGCAGCGCTCTGCTTCTCTGTGGTCACTGTGTGAACGGGCACTGATGCAGAGCCCACCGTGTGCATGCAAGCCCACGGCCGGCTGGGGTGGGAACTGGCATGCAAAAGGCCTCCCACGTGATGCTCGGTACAGCCACAGAAGGCTCCTTATGGGGAACCTTCAGGAAAATAAATGTCTCTAGAGCACAGTGAGGATTCCCAAATTGCAAAGCCCGGAATTCACGTAGGTCATATTTGCCATCATAGGCAAATGTCCAGTGATTCATAAGCATGGTGATTAGAGAGAATGCTTTGGTTCTACTAAGGCTGAACTTTCTACTAAGGCTGAACCTACTAAGTGCTTCCCTCTTCCTCTTCCTCCATTCCAGGCGGTTATGAAAACAGAAACTACTAACTTGAGTCCCCCAGATATTCAGCACACACATTCAATGGGCTCCTGGGCCACAGGAGTTGCAGAGTTTAGGAAACAAAAGCAACAGCAATGATCACAAAAGATGACTGACCTTTGCCCTGGGTCTGCCGGGCTGCGATCGCTATTAAGCCCATTTCCTGCGGTGTCTGAAACATCAACCTGCGAAGAGGGGGAAAAGACTGGTCAGGCCAGACACGGACACGCTCGCGGCACCAACGGCTCACACAGGAGGGACAGGGTTTGCATGCATCTGGGGGTGTGTGGCCACAGAAGGGCCAACTGTGGTTTCCACTGGCCTTCAGGAATGGGGAGCCAGGGGGATATCACCCTCCTTTCTAACCTCAGTTGTGAGAATGAAAAGAGATGAAGAAAGCACCTTTTAATATCAAAAAACAGCATGGGAGGGGGTGTGTGTACCTGCCTGAGCGTTACTCCATTTATTTAAGACTCGGTTAGATTCTATTTCATCAGAATATCCTGCCAAGTTCTTTCTCCCCCCACCCCCAATGTGTGTGCCTTCTTCAAGTGACAACTAGCAATTCCTGACATTTGTTCCTACTTAGGGTGCGTTTCTGTTCGAACACTAGAACACAATCTTAACAGAAGTTTCTGATTATTCAGAAAACCAATATGGTGGCAATAAAGCTGTTTAAAAGACATACTATCCCCTGAGAACTAATTATGATTTAACTATGGTAAATAAATCCACACCTTTTGAGGACGCAGGAGAACCCTGCATCGTTTTCGGCTTCAGTCCTGCTTTTAAAATGGTTTCATTGAAAAGAATACAAACTTTCCTTTGGGGGATAGGTAGAAAAGTGCATTACATCTCCACCAAATGAGTGGATATTAACTTTTTTTCAAAAATAGGAAGGAAAAAAAATCACATAAAAAAAACCCCACTCTGAGAATTTCCTGCAAGCCGCGCTCTCCCTATTGTAACCCCGTGGCAGGACAGTTTCTCTCTGCATGCCTGGGAATTGCTGATCAGGTGCTGCGCAGGTGCAGTTCGAGGTAGCATCCATCAACAGAACAAAGATCAGGTTTGGCCTCTTTGTCAGTGCAGATGAGAGGGCCTCTTTGATTGATTGATTATTTTTGGAAGGACAGGAGCGGACAGGACAGGGATGCAGAAGAGATGGCATTTCGTCATAACATAAAGTTTCTAATAATAAGTCTCTAGGCTTCCACAGTGGCCCTACTGAGGACAAAAGAGCTCTAAAGAAAGACCACGCTCTGAGAAGCTTATCATCCTCCCCTCCCAGCTACAGAAACTGGGTGGAACTTTACAAATGGCTGGAACTCGGCAAGAGAAGAAAAATACTTAAAAGCAGAGAGAAACAACAGCGTCCACTGTGGACCGATGGCTCACGGAGCTCCGCCTGACGGCGTGTGCAGACCTCAGTTAGGACAGGAGGAGCCCAGAAGACCCTCCAAGTGTTTAAAAGACCTCAGGACACACAGGGCAGGGGCTCAGCTGGTGACACAGCTGTCTTCCCACACGGCTGCTGGAACAGGCACAGGACGCTCTCGGCGAGCAGGCCGGCCTCGCCGCCCATGTGCCAGGCCCACTCCATCTCACATGAAATACAGCTCAGAAGTATTTCTCTTGGACACGATGAATAACTCATTGAGATCGAGTGTGCTGTACGCCACTGGGTCCAAGAAGAAAGCGTCCTTTTCTTGTGTTGTACCAGCAGAAAATCTAAGAAGGAGTCTTTGTGCAGGGAGTTAACATTGTCTTTCAGGAACCTCTGCTTTCTAGAGGGTCCAGCAACCCTCCACCTGACTTCCTAAGGCCCAGGGCTCTCGAGGTGATGAGGCAGGGGTCGAGGGGACGATTTAGCATGTTGCGAGCAGACTGCAAAGGCAATCTAGGATGTTCTGTAAATAAACATGTATGTAGATGGTAGACAGTCATAGGCTATAGCCAGGGATAGTGATGGGAGGGGCAGGAAAATGGTTGGTTCAGAAACCAAACACAGACTTCTAGAACAAAGAGAAATGATTAAGGGAACATATGCACTAAACTGCTAGAGGTTTGGCAGCAGTTAACAGGGCATATTAATGGGAAGAGGGAGTCTGTGCTGAAGGCCAAGAGGAAATTCTGCAAGGAGGGAGACAACGGGGGAAGGAGCTAATGCTCAGTTTGAGACAACTGAAGGCCGCCAGATTTATTTGTGCTATCTGAGATAACTCTGGGGCCAAACCGCACGGCTCACAGTCAACAAAGCAGCATTTATAAACCCTGTCAATTCTGCATTTCTGAAAATGAAGCTGCTTGAGTTTGCTTTAGCAGAAAGGAGAAACCATAAATGCATTTCCAACCTTAGTGGATGATGTCCTTACAAAACGAAAAAGGAAAAACAAAAAGGAGGGGGGTTACATAATGATTACCTCCCTGCTTCTGTATATTTTCCTTCCTTGCTGGCAAAGGTTGTGGAATAAAAGCTTTCTGTGAGTGGCAGCCGAGTGCATTCACTGTGGAACCAGAGCGGCACTCAAGAAAAGCGCTCTGTTTTGTACTCTTGTGTTGAGTCTGAAACATCCGGAGCCCCCTAAGGGTCACTCTGCAAACGAGACAGTCTCCTGACCCCTTTGGTTACTAAGGACAGCCCAGTAGCCACGGAGGCTCTGCCAATGGAACTGTCCTGATTGTTACATGGTCCTTTAAGATTAAGCTTTAATGATTGAGAATAACCTAAAGACAGACCAGCATGAATTAGTGAAAAATCTGAATGAACAAAAATGTAAATAATGTAAATTCAGACCAAGTCCATCTACTTCGGGGATCTGAACCTAAGAAAATAGTCCACATTCACTACAGTGTTATAAAGGTAAAAATATGGAAATAACCTCACTGTTATTAGGCAAATGGTTAAATAAATTCTGATAAATTAAGTCAATGGAATAATTTGTAATCAAATTATTATAGTTCTGAAGACTATATAGCAACGTGGAAGAAAGGCTTGCACTGGTATGTCAAATTAAAAAGCAGCATACAAAACTATAGAGACTTTTTTTTTTTTTTTGAGATGCAGTCTCACTCTGTCGCCCAGGCTGGAGTGTAGTGGCATGAATCTCGGCTCACTGCAACCTCCATCTCCCAGGTTTAAGTGATTCTCCTGCCTCAGCCTCCTGAGTAGCTGGGATTACAGGCCTGCACCACCATGTCCGACTAATTTTTGTATTTTTAGTAGAGATGAGGTTTCATCATGTTGGCCAGGCTGGTCTTGAACTCCTGGCCTCAAGCGATCCTCCTGCCTCAGCCTCCCAAAAGTGCTGGGATTACAGGTGTAAGCCACTGTGCCTGGTCAAAAACTACATATACTTTTATTCCAAGTATGTAAAATTCAAAAAAGGGTGGGAAGGAGATTAGTCAAAATGTTAATGATGGCTATATTAAGATTTTTTTCTTTTATTTTAAAACTTTAATATGATTGGTAACCTATCTTTTTTTTTTTTTTTTTCTTTTGAGACAGGGTCTTATTCTGTCGTCTCAGCTAGAGTGCAGTAACTCACTGTAGCCTGGACCTCCAGGGCTCCAGGGATCCTCCCACCTCAACTTCCCGAATAGCTGGGACCACTATGGGTTCATACCACCACATCTGGCTAACTTTTGTATTTTTTGGTAGAGATGGGGTTTTGCCATGTTGCCCAGACTGGGTAATCTTTTGATTTAAAATTTATTTCGATTTTTTTTTTTGGAAAAAAGCATATTTTTACATTTAAATATAATATTGTAATTGAGCCACCACGCCCGGCCATAATTTTTAAAAGCATACTTCAAAACATGATTGGACTCATGCTGTATAGGATTTTGCACCCTGATTAAATCACCTAAAAGTGTCTGGTGGTCATCTGCCCACATTACTGATGGCTATATGATGGGCGTTCATGTGGAACCGCTGTGGGTTTTTTTATTCTTCAACAACGGGCTGTTTGGATTATTTCTGATTTTTCACACTGCATCAATAATGCCGTGGTGAACAGTTGAGCCCCTGAATTATTTTGTGACCCTGTCTGAGTCCTCCTCAGGATTCAATTCTATAGAAGTACAGTCACTGGGTCAGGAAGTAAACCATTTTTAAGGCTATCACTGGGTCTGAACAGACTGGTTTTAAGGATTTCTGCTCACTTGTTAGTATCAGATAGAGACCATCCTGGCTAACATGGTGAAACCCCGTCTCTACTAAAAATACAAAAAAATTAGCTGGGCGTGGTGGCTCACATCTGTAATCCTAGCACTTTGGGAGGCCAAGGCGGGCGGATCACTTGAGGTCAGGAGTTTGAGACCAGCTGGCCAACATGGTGAGACCCCATCTCTACTACAAATACAAAAAATTATCAGGGTATGGTGGTGGGTGCCTGTAATCCCAGCTATGTGGGAGACTGAGGCAGGAGAATCACTTGAACCCAGGGGACGGAGGCTGCAGTGAGCTGAGACTGCACCACTGCACTCCAGCCTGAGCAACACAGGGAGACTCCATCTCAAAAAACAAAACAAAAATTATTAGGAAATATACCAAAATATTAGCGGCAGTTATCTTGGGGAGTGGACATATTTGAAAAATACAGAAAAGTGTTAAGTAGCACATAAGTTATCTAGGTAAGTCCTGCTTCTCATTAAAAGTGTGTATTATTTTATGATTGCTCTCTTTTTAGAACACACAGATATATTTTATAAAGTATTTTTCTGATAAAAATTTTTTATTTTGAAGATCTTACAGTGATATTGTAGATACATAATTGATATTCTTATTATATTGCTAAAAAGAAGGCTTAAAAACAGTATCATAGAATGATTCTCTTTATATATGTATTTATAGAAAAATACAGGAGCCAGGCTCAGTGGCTCATGCTTGTAATCCCAGCACTTTGGGAGGCTGAGGTGGGTGGACTACTTGAGTCCAGGAGTTCAAGATCAGCCTGGGCAACATGGCAAAAACCCATGTCTATCAAAAAATACAAAAATTTAGCCAGGCATGGTGGCACATGCCTGTAGTTTCAGCTACTTGGGAGGCTGAGGTGGGAGGATCAGTTGAGGGAGGGAGTTCAAGGCTGCAGAAAGCAAAGATCATGCCACTGCACTCCAGCCTGGGCAACAGAGCAAGATGCTGTTTCAAAAAAGAAAAAAGAAGAAGAAGAAGAAAAATACC